AGTTAGAAGGGACAAGGACCACTGAAGTCCCACTCCTGGCTCTGCCCCAAGAATCACACTGTGTGCCTGAGAGCCTTGGCCAAATGCTTCTTTAACTGTGTCAGGCTTAGTGCTGACTATTTTCTTGGGGAGCATGTTCCAGTGTCCAACAGCCCTCTGGGTGAAGAACCCTTTTCTATATGCAATCTAAACCTCCCCAGACACAGCTTTGTGCCATTCCTTCACACCCTGTCCCTGGCCACCAGAGAAAGTATCAGTGCCTGCCCCTCCATTTTCCTTTGTGAGAAAGCTGTAAGAAGCTGCTATCAGGTCTTCCCTCAGCTGTGTCAGTTTTTCCTGTGATGACACTTTGTTTCTTCCAACATACCTTATTCCTGGATCTTGCTGAGGGAGGAGTGCAAGAGGGTGACTCTTGCACTCTGTGTGGCTGGAGGTCAGCCAGCCAGAGTCAATCCACTACACCAAACTAAACTGCCCAATAATAAAGGCCAGGAAACTGTGTAGAAACCTCTGGCTGAATGATGCCAGCACACAAAGCAGTAAAATGGCCATCAAACTTCAGGCAACCTGTTTTAATTTCTGAGTACTTTAATATCTGAATTTAACTCTGCTGAGCTCTGAGTTATTTTCAGTTCTTCAGTTTTCCAATTAAAAAAAACCCCAGGAATAAATCAAATTTCACAGTACTCAAGGAGTCACAGAATTGTCAGGGTTAGAAGGGAACTCTGGTCCAACCCCCCTGCCAAGGCAGGGTAACCTCGAGCAGGTGTCACAGGAACGTCTCCAGCCAGAGAGGCTCTGTGACATCCCTAGACAGCCTGTTATAGTCTGCAAGTATTATATGAAAAATGCTCGAATAATGAAATAGAAGAGAGATGTGCTCTTGCCCTTGACAGAAGCTGCTTTGCCACAGCAATAGCCAGCCTTGACTCCAGAATTAAAGGTGAAATGATTTCCAGCGCTGACGCTGGGGGTCTCCCAATACTCCAGGGAATGAACACTCTCATTCTGCAGATGAAGAAATTCCCGTTACAAACACACGGACCTGCTGAGATCAGGCTCGGTCTGTCCCCTCACGGCAGCCTCCCCCCCCACCGGAGCCGCCCCCGCCCCGCGCCGCGCTCGCGCCCCCTCACTTTGCTCAGCGCCGTTTTCTTCTCCTCCCGCTGTTTCCCCGGCGCCGGATGAAGCGGCGGCGGCGGCAGCGGGGACGGCGGGGACGTCGGCGGCGGGTTCGGCGGAGCGTCCGTGTCGCGGCGCGGCGACTCCTGGAGCAGCGGGGCGTCCATGGGCCGCGAGTCGCGGCCGCCGCCCCTGCCCGGCCCCAGCCCCTGCCCTGCCTCCCGCTCCGAGCGCATGGAGCCGCCGCGCCCGCAGCCGGGCGAAAACCTCGCGAGAACGGCCGCAAGGCTGGCGGGATCTCGCGAGGCTCCCCCCGCCAGCCGTGGGGAGCAGCGGCGGCTCCGTCCCCGTCCCTGCTGGAGTTGCGCAGGGCGCCCACGCTGCCGGTGCGAGGGGAGCACACAGAGACGTGCCCATTTCCCTCCTCTCACGGGTGCTTTGTCACCCCGGCCTCTGAGCGGCTCGAGGGCGGGGAGGGCACGGACACCCCGGGGTGCGTTATTCAGTCTTTGGATGCAGGTTCTAAGGGGTAGCGAAATTCCGGGGAGAAAGCAGTGGGAAAAAGGAAATAAAAGGCCATTAACCATTACTTGTGTGAGGCCAGGAGACTTATGCCCGCAGGGAGGCTCTGTGATAATTAAGCAGTGCCTACACTTCGGCAATGCACGCCAGCCTGAGCCCCAGAGGCAGCAGGGAGAGCTCTTCCAAAGGTGCCTCCAGTCCTTCTGCCTGGCTTCCTCAGGAACTGTGGTGATAGGACAAGGGAGAGTGGGTACAAACTGAGCAAACTGTGCCTAGATGTTAGCAAGAAACTTACAGTGAGGATGGTGAGGCGCTAGAATAGGTTGCCCAGGGAGACTGGAGATGCCCATCCCTGGCAGTGGTCAAAGCCGGGTTGGACAGGGCCTTAACCAACCTGGCATAGAGGTGTCCCCCCATGGCACTACAGGATCTTTAAGGTCCTTTCCAACCCACACCATTCTATGATTCCATGATTATTCTAAGTACTGACCCATCAATTAGAGCAAGGGTTTTTAGTCTTAGATTGCAATCAATGAATTTTGCAGTATCTAGATCCAAAAAGTTTCTTGAAATTCCTGAGTGAGTTGGAATATCTTGGACTAAATCTCCTAGAATTGGTGGCAGAGGTACAGCAAGCTCCACAGTATGGACATGTCACACATTTAAAGACAGACTTGTCTGGAGCTATGGAAATTAGACAGAAGGAGCAAAAATGCCTGCAATTTAATCAGAATACACAGGGTCATTGCAAATCTTCAGATCCTGCTGCATTGGTAATTCCTCAAACAGCTGTCCAAAGCATGAAGGAAACACATGATCTTATGTGGAATAATAAAAGTAGGTGGCATTGGCTGCAAAAACTGAAATCACAGAGTATTCTGAGTTGGAAGGCACCCACAAGGTCCATTGAGTCAACTTTTAAGTGAATGGGCCACATGGGGTTTAAGTTTGCAACACTGGCATTATTAGCACCTGCAGCCTGATCAACTGAACTAACTATTTATCTTCAAATCTTTTAGGCAGCAGTATCTATGTATGAAGAAACTTTTGGAGCCATTTGCAGCACAAATATCTTGTGGGTTTTCATATCTGCTCTGAAAACCTTTCAGGCAACATTCAGATCTCCCCCCTCTGGGACAAAACTAATCCTTGGAAGAGAAAGATGAAGTTATGAGACAGAGTCAAAATGTCCCTTTTGGGGTATATTTATCAGCCACCCAACCTGACAGTCCTGGACCTGTGTACTCAGCAGCCAAAGCCAAGTCAGGCAATGGCAATGGCTTGCAGCATGAATCAAGAATCTGAGGTCAAGTCAGGCCAAAACTAATAACCAAAGTCCTCATGAGGACAAGGACAATATTCAATTTAACTAGAGCCAGGGTGAATGTCATAATAACCCAGAAAGGCACCAAGCTCTCTCTAGTAAGAGCAGGACAGGTGATGGGAGGTGCAGAAGACCAGGGCAAGCAGGTGCTACCAGTACAAAGGCAGGGATTTGGACAGAACAAGAGCAGGTTAAAACATTGAACAGAAGATAAATGAGGAGAGAAGAACTTCCCCTGAAGTCCTGTGTGAGGCATCATGAACCAGCTCACAAGCTCTAACCCAACTGTAGCTGTCTAAGAGGCTTGGAGCCTAGCCAAGCCATATCAAGAATTCCTCCGACATCCAAAAGAGTCCTTCACAGGACACTTTGCATACATTTCTTTCTGGGCAATTTTTAATACCAATAAACAAAGGTTAGCAATAGCCAGCCAAAAAACCTCCAACAGATACCTGCCAAGGCACAGTGTCACGACAGGCTGCTGTTACAGCAATGCCCATTCTCACTATTCCATCTGTTTCCTCCCACTCCAACCACTCTGCCCCACTGACAACCAGTAACACAGCAGTGGCTTGCTCTCCTTGAACCTGAGAATTGATCAGATATAGAAAATATTTTTAAATGCTGTTCCAGTTCCCTGATTTCATTCACAATGTAACCACACAAGGATTTGTATTACCACAGCTGAGGAAGTGGCACAGTAGATTCCTACAGGCAGGAATAATGTTAACCAATGTTGCCATCACAGCCAACACAGCATCAGATTGTTAACTGGGGAGTGCAGGAAGAAAGAGGAACTTCTAACAATATTTGAAACCATTTTGCCAATGAGAAAATTAGTAACAGAGCAAAACAATGCAAGATTTGTATCCATGTGTGACAGTAGTCAAAAGGCCTGATTCTCTAGAATATTATTTTGCCACCTTCCATTTAGAAATTGCCATGATATCTTACTAGAAAACTAGATTGACATATGCTGGATTAAAAATAATGATATAGAGAAAAAGGAGTTTGGCTCCTTGAGAATCTTTGAGAATCTATTTGCAATATCCTTCTGTGTGCAGCAACAAGCCTTTGCTGTCATATTATCCATGAGATAGTCTTGGTTACAATTATTCAGGATACATGAGCACAGATGTAAAAATAACTTTCAAAAGATCCTTTAAAGGAAGAGACCTGCCTAATAGAGCAGCTGTTGAGACACACTCATTACAGATCCTTCCAGAGTGTTCAGGAAAAATCCCCAGTTTACATCAAAGAAGTCACCTGAACCACAACCCAATTACCAGGTTCCAAGTGAAAATAAAGCCCTTTGTATAAACTCCTTTTGCCAGTCACACTGAAGAAGAGAGACCTGACTCTGCCCAGGAGATACATATGCCTCCTAAATTATTAATTTTTCCTACACTCTGCTTGGGTACTTTTTCACTTAAGACTCATGGCTCATACTATGTTTTTCAGGAGAATGTGTAACTTTTGGTGAAAAACAAAAATGTTTTAGAACTAGGAAGCAAAACATTTTTGTTCACCTTATTTTCTCATGCTTAAGAATATATGGGATTGGTATTGAATTCTGCACTCAATGCAAAGTCCAATCTATATTTTCTAACATATGGAAGGGAAATTTGGGCATCACCCATTCCCTTTGTGAAGCCACAGCACAACTCCATTATCACTGGGACAGAACCAGACTTCTCTGCACTACTGTCCTGGCCCTCATAGGAAAGCAATGGGATCACCTGGACCCAACAGATTTTCACAGTGAGAGTGTGTGTAATTGCTGATAAAATACAGACTCCTCCCCAAGCTCTTCCTCCCTTGATACCCTTGAATTCCAAAGTGCAGTTGTGTCAAAAACTTGAATTTATCTTCAGTAATGCACAGGCATGTGCAAAATAGCCAATACAGTGGATTCAAACTATGTATATGGCCTACATCAATCCAATGAGGTCTTCTTCATTCAGATGGGGATTCATGACAGTGCTATCAGGAAAGGAATATTTATAAAGTAAGAACTATAAAACTCCCGGTGTTAAGTACATAGTAGTTTGAATTCATATAAAAAATAGCAAATTCATGAAAGTACAACACCATAACAAAAATGCTAAAACATAGTACACTTAGACAAAATGAGCTCTCTACCAGTATTTATGGTCACGTACTATGGTCTGACATTGATGTTTCTAACATCATATCACTTTCATTCATTTCAATCTCAAATGTTTCTTCCAATGGGCGACTGGTGTCTGTACTTTTCCTTTGATTTGATGTCTCTAATGTTACTATGCCACTTTCATCCAGAGTTTGTCTTTCTATGTCGAATTCTCTGAAATCCCAGGGAGGTGAAATTATGTTCTTTAATGTCTTCACTGTGTGTACATCAAAGTCATAACATCTTAATTTGTCTTTGATCTCTGTTCCTAGGAAAACAGACAAACCAGTAGTTTATTTCAAATGAATACTCCCAAAAAATGTAATCTCAAAGAAACTATCATTCAGAAACTACTATAATTCTCTGCTTTCAGACCATCAAGGGGCTGCTGCTGCTTAATGACTGAAGCTGAATGAGTTGTTCTGAAAAAATCCAGCAGCCTCCTTTCTCAAAAAAGCACAATACAAGAAACACAACTCAGTTTCAAAAGTGTGTTTTGAGAAGTAATTGCCAATTCCCTTCCCAATTCTCCAAGGGGCTTTTTTCTTGTTTAAGTTACACACAGCTTGGTTTGCATTAATGCATATCACATGGCTGCATGGTTCTTCCAGTTGTTAAATGACTACATATGGAGCAAGACAGTATTGAGAAGAAACATCTGTTTCAATTGTGTGAAAAATCTACAGGAAAAGCACTAGAGCACACAGATGGCTTTTACTTTTAAGGCTTCAGCCTTCTTAACATGCTTGACAAGACATCAACTGTGCTCACTACAGATAAATCACTAAGTTCAATGAAGCAGAAATCTATTAAAAATATAGAAGCTTTTTTTGCGGGGAAAATCCTTCATAGAAAATTTAAACCCATGGCAATATAATGTATTACTGTTATGAAGCACTTTTTTTTTTAACCATATATAAAGCTGTATTTTTGTAGTCAGAAGAACCTATCCTGTCTCCACAGAGAAAAGTTTTGACAAGGTGAAAATACCTTGCTCTGCAACAACATTAGCATTAGTGGTCTGATTTCCTAACTCCATACTTCTGTTGAATTTTTCCCCCATTCTCTTTGCAATCTAAGATGCTACAAATCAGTATTTTCTATAAAAGAAAACATTGACACCTTTAATGATCAAGTACTTCATCTCTTTATGCTGGTGAGAGTACTGCCATGCTGCTCACAAAAACCAGTGGTCATCTGCTAAGTTCTGACTCACTTAGCCATTAAAAAAACCAACCCAAATAACCCCAAGAAAGACATCCTCTACTTTTTGAGTTAATTACATGGTGGTAGGCAGTCCTTGACATAACACTCCTCTCAAAGGACTCAATGACTTCAAAAGACACATAAGTAACTTACCAATATAGGCTTCAGAATCACCAATGTACATTTCTATGCAGTGGCCAAGCATTGTGACCGAAAATGTGTCATCCCGCCTGAGACCAAGGGCCTATTGAAAAAAACCCGTAAAAAGTATTTAGCATCAAATAAAAACATTTACATCATAAGTCTGCAATGGTTCAGTTTGTTGGTTTGTTGTTCCACAATGCTATCTGAGCATAGTCTTCACTGTAAAAGCAAAACTTTGCACAACCAAAATAACACCATCATATCAACTGGCTGAAGTAGTAAGCAAGGAAAGCACAAAACCAGAAAAGAACATAGATACAGACAGGAAATCATTCACATATGAGCTACAACATATGCTGCTATTTACTTACTGTAAAATTTCTAAGTTGGAAGTATTTAAAATTATTTCAGGTGAATGACAAGCTCACATACATAAAATGTAAATTGCAATTCAAAGTTTGCTGAAGAGGCCATTTTTTACCTAACCAATAAAATATAGAAGATTTAAGAAAAAATAAATTAAGACTATAAAATAAACACTCATTTGGAGGCTGGAAAAAAATGCTGGTTCTTTGCTCCAAACCCAAACCAGAGGGAAAGAGTAAATAACAGAATCTGTGACCAGCCCTTCAGCTGCAGGCAGTTACGTACCGTGTGGAAATAGTCAATGGCACTTTCAAAATTGCCCATGAGGCTGTGTATGTAGCCAATGGCAGAGTAAGTAGAAGCATTCTGAGGGATCAACACCAGAGCCTGGCGATGGTATTCCAGTGCTTCATCGTACTTCCTGTTAGGGGTAAGTACAGGAGAGTATCTGTTAGTAAGCTTCATGGTGAAAGGTGCTTTTACAGTGCCCTGTGAGTATTCTCCTTAGCAAAGCGGAACACAGTTGTGCCAGAACTTGAAAATTATTGCTTTGCACTCTGAACATAGTAATAGAATGTACAAAAGGCTCATGGATATCAACAATTTTCTTCCTCAGTGTAATTGAAAAATCATTGTTCTCCTTATGAAGGAAAACAGCTGCCTACAGCTAGGTCCCATTTGGAGAGTTTAGCTGTTTGATATGGTAAATTGCTCTAGGTGTTTAATGCTGCTCATTGTAGCACTGGCTTTCTTTCTGTCACTTTCATTTGCCTTCCTGAGGGAGAGAAGGAGCAGTATGAGACTAAACCACACGATTCAAACTGAGACAAGCTCTCTGGGCAGAAATATCACAACCCTTAAGTGCTGCATACGCTGGTGCCTTCATCATTTTGCAACATGCTCTATCAGAAAAGGAGGTTTACACATATCCATGATATCTATCAAATACCACCCTGTCTTTGAAAACTGTCTATTAATTACACTGATTATTGCAATTGTTATTTTATAAAACAAGGATTAAATGTACACTACAGCATTACTCTGAGAAATTAAATTGTCACATTTGACATCCTAGTTCTACATTGTTAAAGATAATTATTGCCTGTTTATAAGAAATTTTAATATCTAAAGCGATAATGAAATTATGCAATGAGGAACACACAAAGTTGTTAGAGGGCATCAAGTAACAACTGAGGCAGAAAAATGATGCATATGTTTGCTTGCTGCACAAGCCTTTCATATGATTTCAATTTCACTTCCACTCATAGTAACTACACATCCAATTGACTACCACTGTATTTGAATATGCTGCCTTGAAATTTCAACCACATAATACTAGTGAGTACACATATATCCAGTAAGTTTTTCATAATAGCCACATTATGTATTACAGACACCAGTAAATTAGTTACTACAGAGTTTTTTAAGATGTGAAAGCATATGTACAGCTGCCTAAATTCTCAACTTGATTTTCTTGGAAGATAGTTTACATGGATGCAAAAATATTTTAGCTTTGATTTCTGAACCTGAGCAAATATTAAAAGTTATACAAAGCATGATGTAAGCAGTTAGTTAAACTACTGTAGAAATTTTAAAAAGACAAAAGTAATTACAAACAAAACAACTATTTGAAAAAATCCTGCAATTATACTCATGAACAGATTTCAGAAGCAGTGCCTTTTGTTTGATTTTGGCACAAGGAGTAACTGTTATACGTCCTTATTTCATCATGAAAATGAAGACTAATTGGCAATTAAAGCACAAAGCAATTACTACCAAAGCCAAAGCAGAAGTACAGCTTTCATCTACCATAATCACATTCTCATTAGCAGCTTTGAAACAAAAATTACAGTGTACACCAATTGAGCAATTAAAACCACTAGAAATATTTTTTAAAAACTGCATTGATTGAACAAAAGAAAGGACTGGTTAAAGTCAGATTAAGGTAATTAATGAGAAAATGTCTCTGTTAAAACTGTTAATGCTTATATATATGTGCTTTGCACTTCTATTCATGGAAAGATGAAATGAAATATTAAATAGTTTTGTTCTAAAAAACAAAGACTCCCTTGCTGTGTTATAATGCCACTGAATATTTCACTTCAGTAAAAAAAAGTGCTAATCCAAGCAATTAATTGGCATAAACCTACCTTTATGTTTATTATGTATTTATATAATAATCAGTGGATATATTTCAGTATGTGAGGACTGGGACAGTGAAGAGTTAAAATTCACACCCATACAAGCCTCTAAAAGCCTCCAACTATTTACCTAATAAGAATCAATAGGTAAAGAAAGGCTTTTACATGAAGTACTTTAACTTTTGTGTAATAAACAGGATTGATTGAAGGGTTGATTAATGTAGTTATGTTCACAAGCTGATTTAGAGAATCTTGTTCTTACAGGGTAATTCTACACTGCTCTCATGTGGTACACAATCTTGGTATAAAGGAGAGAGAAAACACATTTGTGCAGCATTTTAGAGAAATGGAGCTCCAGTAATCTCTGCTTACTTGAGTTTTCTGCAGACATGTCCCAAGTTGTTCAATAAAGGCTCCCACTTATCAACTGTTACCTGCAAAATAATGCAACAATTCAAATAACTGCAGCTTCTGAGACTGTAACTAAATTTTGGCTACTTTAAAAAAAACAAAACATATAAATGCATATAGAATTTTGTTTATGAACAAGAAAAATACAAGCATTTTAAACTCTTAACAAAACACACTAGCTGAAAACATTTATTCAACAACTAATTTTTCTATTTTTTACATTCCCCAAAGCTAATAATATTTCTTTAAAGGGTCAGTGTTATTAAAACTTGATGCAACCCAAACAAAACTTGTTTTCTACTTAACTAGAAAAAGTCAAGTCTCAGCCTAGGAGCACTGAAGGCACAGTTTCAAATAAAAATTTACACTGCATTACTTTTATCTTAAAATAAGCACAACATGTTTTGTCACAAGCTATTACAGAATTTGGAGGAGTTTTACAAATTTATGATCTTGCATGTTACTAGAATAAATACCTCATTCCCAATAGCTTTGATTTTCTCCAGTGCATCAAGGAACCACTTTTCTGCAGTTTTCCAGCTAAGGATTGAAGGGGTGGAGGGAAAGAAAAGTAAATTAGTGAAGAGTTTTCATCTGCAGCATGAGAAAACTACATTTAAGAAAGATTTCTATGATGTTATTTCTTCATATGAGTGAAATTAGATGTAAAACCCAGTAATTTACATTTGGCTATATTTTGCATTCTGGCCCTAAGAGCTAACAAAACAAAACGAAAAATAAAAATCAGAATCAAACTAAAAATATTGGCTAAACAATTCTTATATAGGTTAGGGTTTTTTCCCCCAGAATAAATTTGGAACCTCCTGAGCTGACAAAATGTATTGCTGTACAAAATTTTATATTATGTGTGCAGATAGATGCCTTTTCAGGCATTCAACTACACAATGAGAGGCACGTAGAAGATAGCATCAATCTCTGGATGTTCTTTGAATATTACATTCTGTTCTCGTTCAATCTTACACAAAGAAGAACAACGTAGAAAGCAAGGGTTTAAGGTGAACACCATCTAAACTATGACCAGAAGACACTATAATTCAATATAAGTACTTCAGATATATTGACACATTACAATTAAGACTAATCCCTGTTTAAGATAGTATTTGATCACATTTTGCAAGCTTACTCTCCATTTTGAAATGCTACCACTCCAACTTCGTGCATAACAAAAGGATCTTCAGGTGCAATGCTTAAAGCTTGGCTGAAAAATCGTTCAGCCAACTTGGAGTTGTTGGTCAAACCATATTCCAGTCCAATATAGAGCATAGGCAAATGACACCTAAAAACCATAAAACAAAGTGCATGTTTGTTTTTGTGTGGTTGTCAAGAATGGAGTCCCAAACTATAAAGACATGCCAACTGTTTGCATATGTTTATGTACATCCAAGTAAAAGCTGATTTAAATGTACTACTAACCTAAAGGGAACTTTAAAAGACTTTACATCTCTATTTAACAAGAGAATGAATTCCAATAAGTAATTGTAACCTGCTCTGCAATCACATGTATTTTCTCAGCACTTAAGTCTAGTTCTGATGTTTTTTCCCCTAATTTCATTCATACATTTAATTTACAAATAGAATATGGAGGAAGTAATTGATAAAAAGAATTACATTTCCCAGTAACCACAATGAAATATGATACTTTTATATGTGATATGACACAATTAGTTCACGACTCATTTTACAACCCCCTCCCACAGCATGAAAGAGCTGTTCAAACTATTACTATGCAGCAATTGATGAGCTGGTATGACAGCCATGATTCACAAATTTCAGAAGATGTTCAGGCAGAACTTAGATTACCTATATATAAAACTTGACTTTAGAACTTATAAAATCAGAAAAATGCAGTTAAAATCACAATAATGCAGTTAAAAGTAGATGGTTAAATTATTGGGGATTTTTTCCCTCCCTGCTTCTCTACCACATAATTGTTGCAAATGCATTGCTACTGTTTAAAGAGATGTATGTTGGAATCCTGGATGCTGAGAATTTTAAACTTACTATGCTTAAAGGCACAGACCCACAAGAGAACACTGTATTTGACCTGAGGCTGTGAAGAAGGGTTCCAAAATTGATAGTACTGGGATTACAGCTGTGTGGTTGGTTAGAAGTGTGTAATATCACAGGGTGGAAGACTTAAGAGTTTGGGATTTTAGAATATAGAAATAAATATGAAGCCAGATGGAGGTTTTAGGGTAGAGGCAGGTTGTTCTTTTTTACCTGCTTCTTCCTTCTTCTTCGTGGGTTTGGGTGATGTTTTGTAATTGGACAGAAAAATCCACATTGCGGGCTTCGAGGGATCAGTTATTGGGTTAAAAGGGAAAATAATATAAGTGTCCTTTCTTAATTAGATAGTTTAGTCTTAAAAGACCTTATAACAAGAGATTAGACATTTTGTGCCTTGCTAATGAAAAGCTACTAAACTCATAGTTGTGAAACTGTTTTACTGATAAGAAATAATAAACACCTGAGTCTGAATGTGAACTACCATCTCAAGTGCCTTCAATCCAGTCCCAGAGAAACCAATAGATGTAAGTCAATATTCTACACTACTTATGGATTCATTTGAATCTTCCCAAATATGATGTTTGTACAGACCCTTTCATGAGCTGTGCAGCTGTGAAGTACGCAGCCATGGCCTGGTCATGCTCACTCTCCACTGCAAAGGAATGTCCATATGCTATCCATGCAGGGCCATAGGTTCGCTCCAGCGTAGTGGCTTTGCTAAAAACAAGAGCAAGTCACAAGCAAACACATCTGAAATTAAATTTCATCTGCTACAGATGTCTACTCAGATAGCAATGCTATGCTACATGGTTAGGTTGTCTATTAAGATAACTGTCAGTAATAACCAGTGATAAACAAAGCTAATTTTAAAACTATTTTGCACTTAGAAGTATCACACATTCTTGTGAATTGATTTCATTATTTCTGCTACTGTTCACAGACAGGAGGAATTATTTGATATTACTGAACATAAACAATTATATAGTAGGTGGATTAAATAAAATACAGGAAACATTAGCAGTGACTCAAAACTCATTGCAAAATCCTAGCTATACATTTTGAAATAAATATATTCTATCAAATCCAAGTTTAAGAAGCAGGATATGAATATACCAAATGAACATCTAAGTTGAAATTTTGCCATCTAATTGTGCTAGCTTTGAAGAAGATGAGCATTTGTCACATCACAGGCCATGCATCAGGGAAGTATACAAAATGTCACTCAAGTCTTGAGCTGAAAACTGCAACCTGAGCAGCAAGACATCAACCCAGAGACTTCACAGAAAGGTGGAGTTGACAAGAACATTAGAAAGCTCTGTAGATTACTTTCTGAGTTTGAAGGCAAGGGTGTTCATAACTAAACAGCTCATAACAAGTGTGCCCAGTCTTTTCTTAAAAGCTTCTGACATGGAAGTAATACATGTTCCTTAAGTATTCTATCATATTGCTTAACTACCCTTAACAACTTACTTTTTTCCTATCATATAATCTAAATTTTGTCTGTCACAGTTAAACTCATTATTTCTCATGACAGATCCTAGAGAATGGTTTATTCTCTGTCTTCTGAGACAAAACTTTAGACATTCAAACATTTTTATCTTCCACCCATGACAGCAATGAAAGGTATGTGGATATTTGACTGTGTCTTCAAGTTTCTTTTCTGGAAACCATTGTGTAGCCCACAGCTGTCCCTAGCCTTGTTAGCTTTACACTGTCATTCTTCTCCAAGATATTTAAGTATCTTGTTAGTATTTCACTTTCATCAGTCCTCTTTTCCCTTTTGCCAGAACTACTGTGAATTTTGATCAGAGTACACATCCACAGATACTTTCTTGCTGTCTAGAGATGCTTGTACATTTAAAGATGTTTTTTATTTCAGCACAAAAACCAAATATATCACTCAGGACAGCTACTTCAAGAATTTCACAGTGCTATTTGTAAGGAATTTAAATATTTGACTCATAATAACCAGGCATTTAAAAAATATAAATGACTAATCCATCTTTACATGTATTGTCTATAAAGGTCTCAGGAAAAATTAGTCTTACAGGTTGATTTATGCCCTCTCAGTTTGAGCTTACAGCACCAGAACAAATGTCCTACTTTACAGCAAGGTCCTGCTCCCCAGTGCTGATATTCACTGCACATACAGAACATCTACAGGAAACACCATTGACCAAACCTAAAAAGCTAAAAAAGCCCACTGTAGCTTGTGCACAGAAGGAACTGGACAGCCAAACATTGGAATTTTCCATATAATTCTTTCCTTTCAGATATGAAACCTGAACCTGGGAGAATGCCTGAGTGTCCCTCAACTGAGAACTGAGGCCTGATCACCCACAGCTGTAGTTAGCTCAGCAGCACGAGTGACTGCAGGGACTACACCTGCCCAGAACAGGAAGGTCACTGCCTAGAGAGACACCACATAAGTCTTCCTCATTTTTAAAGTATCTCTACAGATGAGGTCTAAATTGCTATACCAAAAAAAAAGGGTGGCAATGAAAGTATTTAAATAGCAACCAGTTTATTGAAGCTTCTCTTTATGAGCTTCAAACAATCACAAACATTAAATGTTTATTTAGCAAGTGAGCAGCAGATTCACTAAGAAAAACAGAAAAAAAAATTACCTGAGATATCTTCTAGCATGTTCATTTTTGTGGCCAACCATGAGATAATAGCATCCTACTGCAAACCATGACACCTACACATTAAAATCAAAATAGAATATTATTAGGTACATCACACTTCACATAGTGAAGCTTCAAAAGAGAGGAAGACATAGTAATTAGAGAAGTTAGGAACATTTTCACTGAAATCACAGTCAACTCTTCAAATTATTTGGTATTACAGACAAGCTGGAACTGCTGGCATGTACCTTTCTAACTGGGGCTTACTCAGCCTCATAAAGAGAGCTAAGTGGGAAGCTTACTGCTGTTTTCAATTATTTAATGGTAGGGAATATAAGACAAAGCCAGATTCTTTTCAAGGGTGCAGTGATAGGACAGGAAGCAATGGGAACAAGTTGCAACACAGGAAATTAAGATCAAATGAAAGAAAAGCAATTTTTACTGTGAAGGTGATCAAACACTGGAAAAGGTTGTTCAGAGACATGCAGACATTTATAACTGTAGCATTTGTTTTAAATTATTAATCAAAGTAAATAACTTGCACTGAATACCTTTTACAGGTACTTAACTTTAAGAAAAGAAGCTTGGCATAAGGAAATTACAATGCAGAGAAAATAAAAGGAGTGAACCATTTCTACAAGCTTCATCCAGAAACAGATTTTGAATTCCATAGCTCAAACTAATACATTGCAACTTTTATGTGCTTTTACCGAAAAAAGAAACTACCTGATAACAAAAATTTAGAACAACTTACAGGATTATTTGGGTACAAGTCCACCAGTTTGTGAGAAAGATAGAAAAGTTCTACATAGTGGGAAGAAACAAGAAAAGACAATTAAAACATGCTAAAACACTTAGATGTTTCAAGTCTTTTAGATTTCCATACCAAATATACAGAACATCTAACATTATTAATCCACAAGTGAACAAAATATTTTCTTTTGGTTATAATGCTTCAAATTGCCTCAAAATAGATTCAATTTTGCAATTAGCCAAAGAAAACCCAACCAAAACAACCCATAAGTCTTCACAAGACACAAATAAGCAGCTCTGTTTCCCACCCTTTAAGAATTCTGCAACAACTTAGGTCATTACCATACATTACAATAAATGCCAGTAGTATTACACTTGAATGTACCTTGTCAAGGTAAAACACTATTCAACTTCCTACATCTAAAAGGTATAACATACTGGCTAGATCCATTTCAAAGTAGAGTCCTGTGCATTAATATGCTGAAAATAGGACAAAAGCAAATAAATTATTATATTATTTGGAATAATTCCAAGTGATTACTTTTTTAGTAAAAATAATAATTCTAGTTACTGGAATAACTTACTACAGATTTTCTAATAGCAGCAGTAATCAGCTACAGGATGACAATATGCAATTTCAAAGGAAGTAGCATCAGGGCATGTAAAGTTTCTATTTTTCCAGAGCACAATGCTCTTAAACCAATGGGATTGTCCTGGAGCACTTTGTGTATCAGCCCAGAAAAAAAATAATATTACAACTGGCTTACAAAACATTAACTTCTGTACATAATGCTTCTCAAGGCAGATTTAGAAGAAAAATCAGAGTAGTGGCCCCATTTTCAGATGTACTTAACTGTAAAATAATATTCACTAATCCCCAAGAAGTACCAGCACACCTAATGACCTATTTGTGTACATATAATGCACCATCCCGGGAGACTGCACAGCATATGAGCTCCTTATTCTATTTTCCAATTGATTTTAAAGATATTCAAGCTACTCATTTGTTTTATATGCATTCTGGAATGAGAAAAAGCCACTCCAGCTGCAAATAAGCTGTTACTGTAATTCCAATGAAAGTGTTGCATGATTATTAATTTGTTTGAACTAAAGAGAGGCCTTCACAACAGCAAAGGCAAAGAGAGTCTAGAATTTTTTCTATCACAGAATAATCATATCCACCTAAGCATACACAACCGCTCAAGATTACTTTCTAGTTTAATTTATTGTATTTTATTGTTGAGCAGAAAAAGTGCAGCCAGATACTGTACAAATATCACCTGGAAACAGAAATCACAATGACAGGGATGAGGCAGTGTAGCTCACAGGCCTCCTGGCTACACAGCCCAGTGGTTAAAGGACAGCTACACTCATGACCATGAACTCTTTGCACATCTACTTCCCCCTAATCCTGCTGTCAGCTCAGATATTCCCTTCTTTACCAGTTACCACTGTTTTCTGAAACGGCAGGTTTCAAGAGGAGGAAAAATAGATGTAATTTTTCATATGGTATATAAGGGGGTTTCTTGGCATCTTTTTTTTATTTTTTTATTTTTTATTTTTTATTAAAATTGGGGCTTTACAGCCTTCCGTTGAGTTGTATTAAATGCTGTGTTCCTTACCATTTGCTTTGTTAAGCTCCACAAGTGTCCCTATATGTACAGGTAAACAATTTGCATGGAAGGGGTCTTTTTCCATCACTCTAAAAAAAAAAAATTAAAAAAACTGTAATGTACATTTCAAAAACTTTAATGTGTTAAAAGCAAACTGCTTGTATAGCACGTAATGTTCTAGTTAGTTACCACTTAAAGCATTGGAAAACTATTTGTGATTAAAGCACAACTATTAACAGCATAATAAAGGTTCTCTTCAGACCAGAAATACAACAGTTAATTTAGCTTAACAAAAGAGGGTAACAGAAAATTCTTTCAAGCTGAATATACAATTAGAAAATCAGAATAAAATGCTCTTCTGTTTTGCAGGTCACTTCAAATTTAACCAGCAGACAGCAAACAACATTTCTGTTCATCTTTTCCATACATTTGACAGCAGCTTTAAAACAACAGTCCTCAACTTCCTGAGGTTAACACCAGGCAGGCAGTATGCCTTCAGAATCACATTTAGCTCAGCTGTAAAATTTTGTTTCCTGTGGGAGTCAGAAACACATCCAGGAGTGCAGACCTGCAGCAGCTGAGAAGCAAACCATGGCAGTGTTCTGAGCCCTCTGACCCCAGCAGCAGCAATGCAAGCCCATAACAACTGATACATGATACTCAGCCATCAGAATTAGAAATAACAGGCCAGCTTTTAAATTAATAATATCTTTTGATCACTGTCAATAACATTGTAACTGCTAACTGGCCAGAGAAATCAAACTTCCTAACTAACCAACTGATTCAAACCAGTTCATTCTGAAGGCCAAACAAGAAGTAAGCAGAGAGCACAGAAATTGAAGGTACCAGAATAAGGAAGAGGATGAATGAAGGGAAGTTCAGCACAGTGCTGATTAAACTGAGTTTTACCTTGGATACTTCTGATACGTATTATAATTATACCATGTCTAGCCAGACACAAACTACACATTTTAAATACAGGAGACACATATAACACAGGACATGTATATTGCAGTACATATCAAATTGTTATGTGTGTTTCCCCATTGAACAACAATATTTCCTGTAAGTCCAAGCATAATTATTACACCCCACCATATGAGAAGAAAACCTGAAAGTTGCTTTGCACACTTACACTGAAGTAAGCTTATAACACATTTTGAAGTCACAATTGTAATAATGCCTTTCTGCTAGGGATACTACCACATCCAGGTTTTCCTGAAGACCATCTACTGATTCAGGAATCAGTGTTTCACTGGGTTTATTATACTGAAAGACAAAAGAAACAACATTTGAAACAAAAACTAAGCTAAAATCAGATGGAATAAGCATTAATATTTTTAGTCCCAGAAGAATATTTAAGAAGCTTTAAAGTTCTTAAATTTTTTATTTTTAATCTGAAAGTCCATATTTGGTAAAATGCTTCTTTAAAATGTACTTAAAAGCTCATTTAGAACACAAAAGATGTTTGCTATAGTCAATGTGTTTTGTGTAGGTTGTAGAAATTAAAACTGAGCAATATATATTTTTAGTGCTCCTTGTCACCTTATCTTTGGATAAGAATAGTCTAGAATGATGCTGTTATAGCCTAATATTTTCAGGTAACTGACGTTTTGTCTACATTATTAACATGCCTTTTCCCCACCTAGAAGTTTCTCAATAAATAAATTTTCAAAAACATAAATCAGAATTTCAAGTTGTTACCACAGCAGAAACCAATTAACAGAAAACTGTTACACTATTGCATAAAGTGAGATGTACTGCATCAAAAATTTTTAAAATTACAAAGTCCATATTTATTTCCATGTTCAGAATAAGCGGGATCCAAAAAAATTTACACCCAAAGTCAAGACTTTCAATGAATTCTCCAGATTTTTGGGACTTACCTTTTTCAATTTATTTTCAAATAAAAAGTGAAGCAATTCCTGCTCTTCTTCTGTACATTGTCTATTAAGAGGTAGAGATTCAAGGAGTTCTTTTTCTATATGAGATAAAAAACATTGAAATGGTCATATTACAGAAGAAACAGCATGATCCCACATTTCAAGAACTTAGAGATACAAAGGATTTTGTGATGGTCATCCCAACTGCAAGGACTACAACATCACAGATACACTGAAACAGATAACACTACTAATTTTGGAAATTAAGGATTGATTAGTTATTCCTTCTACACTTTAAAATAAAATGTAATAAAGATGAAATAACACACAATTATTTTTATTTACTCCACATGTCAAATATTATCACTTAGAATGCTCTATTAACTAACGCCTAAGCAAACCCCAGGAGGGTTTCATTGGTTCAACGCCTGTGAAATTGAAAACACAGGACAAAACTTTGTTTGGGCTGGGCAGAGCAGAAGAGCTTCAGGAGCTAACAAGCAGGACAGCTGGGTTATTGTGTTTCTTTCAACTCTTAGCACTACAGGACTGAAAAATAAAAGTTCAAATGCAAATTTGTGCAAATCATAATTTTCACTCATTTAATACACTTTTTGTTCCTAACATTTTGGAGTCTGTTACTTGTTGTGCTGCCTTAATTTCTATCTAGGAAAACACATCTTGAGAAAGCAGGTAAATTTTACTTGTGTTTGACAAATACTTCTCTCCAGACCTTCCTGTGCTGTCAGCATATGGTGTGATGTTAAAAGATCAAATGCTTCAAAGCAGTAAACATCCAGCTTCAAGGCCTCTTTGTAGCTGTAAGTTGCCAGGGTTCTATTGTCCAAAGCATCATAGATCTTCCCTCGTAAAAGGCATATAGAGCTCTTGATCTGGTGGAAAAGCAGGACTGGAGGTCAAAGACTGAGTCATTGTTTGCAATTTAGTTTTCAGCACAAATCAAATGTGCTCCCTGGAAAGTAGAAAGTATTTCATGTATGATAGAACCTGGTTTTCTAGCGCTGTCTTTAAAAAAAAGTTGTCTCTACTATCCCCAAGAAAAATCCAAAGAATTCTCTGTCAGGTTACCTACTGCCAAACAAACACATGCTCAAAATACACAACAGGAGGACAGAGTTTATCTTTTCTAATTCTGGCATCCAGCTCTTTGATACTGAGTTGAAACCTAATTATACTAAATTCCCTTCATATCCAACATGGAGAAATTGTCCCTTCCAAAGGCAATACACTTCTTTGCTGACCATTAAACCACATATTTCATGCAAGACAAGAATGACCACAGTAGAGATGAAAAAGGCCAAATCAATGGACTCAATTGTTCTGAACAAAAAAGTATACCCTTGTTTTCAATCCAAAACATAGATATTAAACAAAAGAAAACACTGAAAGCCCATAATTACCAGTTGTGCTACAGTATTTATTGACTAACATGTTCTTTCCAAATTCCCTTGATGGGTATTTAGTTCAGTCAGAAGGCCACAAAAGTGTCAGCAAAAGAGAAAGTTAACACATTACCCAACTCTATCATCAGACTAAACAGTCCTTTAATCCCCTTATACCAGCACTCAAAATCAGTTCACATCATCAATGTAACCCACTTTGCTACTTCAGTCCTACAGGGAAAATGCCATCTTGTCAATCACCTACACTGTAATTTCAGCTAAGAAATTTTAATTTGTACCTCCAAAACTAACAACTCTTCACAGACTCTTCAGCCTACACACCATATCAATCTCTTTAAACTGTCTCTCTACACAGAATTTTTTCCCTGAGCTTCAAAAATTTCACTTTCACCTCACATAATTTTCACAAATGTGATCAAAGAATATCCCACTGAGAACAACACTTGAGTGATTATGAAGTATTTCATTAAAAATAACTGGAGGAGAAAAAAACTTGCTTTGTTATCTCAGAACCTGCAACCCAATTGAAAGCAATGTTAGGACACATGATCAAGAAAGAGCTAAAAGACTGTAAAAACCAATACTAGATCATGAAGTTCCTGCAAAGCATCTGCAAATAATTTATAAGAAGTTGATGAAAAGTACTGTTTATTTTTGCATACTGAGTTATTTTCATACAGGCAAGCTAACACACAATGCGTGACTGAAAGAAGAACGATTTAGCATTTCTGAAAATTATGTTATCTGAAAAAGAAACCTTTAATGCACTTTCAGATTCATAGAGCTGTGAAATCACTTTCTGACTTCACAGGGTTTTTTTTCCTACAAAATATTTTTTAAAATAATGTCACTTACTGAGGACTGTGACATCTCCCAGTCTGTGGTAGAATCTTTCAACCCACTTTCATCCTTGAAGTACTTTTCAAAAAGTCGTTTGTTGATTGGCTCCTCCATATCAAGAATATCCAAGGCCTGTTGATGCTCTTTTGCAGCATACTAACCAAACATGTGCATGTAAAAAACAAGGTTTTGAAGAATTTGTACATAAAGCACCAATAAATACAGCATCATGTTTCAAAGGCATAGGTTATAACAACTAGTGTTTATCAGCAGGTTTTTCATGCCTACATTTTCTTATTCAGCCATTTGTCATTTTATAATTGCAGTTAGGTCTTTTACTGGTCATCTATAATATGCAAAAATGATAAAATTATGAAAATATGCAAAAATTATAAAATAAAGCATGCACAGAAAAATGCACTATTCAGAATTATGCAGTCAGAGAAACAGGTATCGTTCTAAAAATAGTTAACATGGGTTTTAATAAAATACCATCATCTTATTCTATAAGCAGAACATTACTTCAAATTTCTGTATATTTAATCTACCAATTGATTCAGCTGTGTCTCTGAAAGCACTGCATTTTACCTTTTATGTATGAGATCTTATACAGAAGTACAAAGCTGCTAACTATGGTTATACCACCATAAATCACATCTCCTCTGGTCAGACTACAACCAACCAAATAAAACTGTAAGCATGAAGACATGAGACAAAAATGGTTCACATTGTTTTCCCACAAAATATTAGAGGAGTATTTCTTGGGAAGAAAGGTCAGTTGGATTTCTTCCAATTAGTGCCACAATGGATACTCAAGTGACCCAACTGAAAGTTAAAGAATGAAATCAACTGTCAGAAAATTTAAATCTATTGTTCCAATGAACATGATATATCTACACTACCTATCAGGTACCTAATCTTGCCAAGATGTATCTTTTATTTAGTTTAGCTTGTTTCCAGTAGGGGTTAAAATGTGTACTCACATGACATCTGGCTGCAAGGTAGCGACATGCCTCATACAACTGAAAGAAAAGTTTCATACACATCAGTTATAAAGAGAGAACATGTTTGCTTACACTGCCTGAGTCCCTCTGGCTCTCTCCCTTTTCAGTACTATGGCTCCTCCACCACTTTCAGCACCAAAAGTCCTTCCTGACCAAGCCTGTAACACTTTCTCTACTAGTAAATTCTCAAAGGACACTTACTTGACTCTTGTCTTTACCACTCATTATCAGAGTGGAAGGAAAATTGAAACAACTCCATGTGAAGTAATAATCCACCTTCCCATATGTGTTGCAGTTACATCCTCTCTTTTCTGTGACCCTGTCTGGGGACAATGCTATAATCCTGACCGATTGAACACAGGGCCTTATGAACTAAATAATGCAGCTTTCTTAATTACTTTTCTTACTGTGGTGGTGAAGAAGTCACTGTAGTTAGCAGCAGAGCCTTAAAACAGGGGTAACAGTAGCCTGTCTTTGATAAAATGACTTACCTTATCCAACTTCCGTGATCGAAGGGCGTGTGCTGCCCTGTGATACTGAGCTGTTAGGTAAAGACATTGGGCCAGCCAGTAGATATCCTGTGGTTCCTCTAAAGTAAAAGAACAAATTATAAACCATTGCTTTACAATACAGCTTCAAACATTTTAATACAGAATGTTCACTTTTGCTTCACTAGAGAAGTATCTTCCCCCTACTCTAGCATCTGAGTTAAAAAAAATTATTTATAAATATGTATAAAGTACTTACAGTATCTATCAGTGAGAGATTAAAATGAGATGATAATCAGATTTTAGCATTAAAGACCTCAAATGGTGCACTTGACAGTGAATACAAAGAATGTCACAATAGAGGTGTGTCACAAGAAGGAGACCACAATGATACAGATTAAAAAAAAATAGCAGTTGCAGATTACCCTGGTCTTGGACACAGGGCAGAAAAAACAACCCATATCTCCCTCAATAAAAAGATTAGAGGGAACCTAACAACAGTGAAGGCACTAGACTTCCATAGCTTGGAGTTGCAATTTCAGAAGCACAGCTTAGTACCCTCCCACCTCACTGGCAACCAAAGCCTTTGTGGGATCAAGTCCCTGGGATCACTTTAAGAAGTGTGAGTGCCAGTGGCCATGGGCAGCATCGACTCCCTCTCAGTGTAAACACACTTTGTACTTGTCACCCAGGCAACCCTGAGTCCTGGGGGAAACCACCATGGTCTCTTGTTGCTCTTGTTTTTTCCTTTCTTAAGTGAAGCAAACCTTAAGGTTTGTTCAAACATGATTTTTAACACAAAGTTCAAAAGGCAAGGAAGATGAGCTCTGCTCTATTTAGGAAAACAGCATTCCAAAGATCACAAAAATGCACTTACACCAAATTCAAAAGGTCAATATTTGGCCATCCAGCACTAAAACCCCACCAAAACACAACACTATCAGAAAGAAGTTAATAAAATACAATGTAAAAAGTGACCACTCACCATGAGAGAGTGAAGCTACTTTGTCAGCCCAAAACAGGGCACTTTGATACTGTTGCTGTAAAAGTATGATAGAAATAATTAGTATTCCTTTGGGGTTGGCTTTTCTGAATAATTTTGAAATACATTGTATTTCAGTCAGATCTAGTATCTTGTGCATGTAGTTTCAATGAATGGTGATTCATATTTCAGATCTTTGTAACATAGTAAAATATAGTTCAAAAGGGCCAATACTGCAGGTATCTTTGACCAAAAGTTATGTGCTCTGTAAGTATGGCAATAGGTCATTAGCTGAATTGCCATCACTGGAAAAGTAGCAAGAATCCCCATCTCCAGTTAAAAAATGCTACATTTTAGAAAAAACCCCAATACTATATATAAAAAAGGCACCAAAATTACTTCAGGTAACTTCAGCAGCACCAGCTCTGATCAAGAAATGTTCATTCTCCAGTCAAGATGCTTGACCTTCACATAAATCCATAGTGCCTGCATGCATTTCCCCTTTTGCTTGGATAAACATTTTCACTCTTGAGACTCCAGTTTGGCAGAAGTGAGTGAAATAGGTAGGAGTGGTGGCAACCAGAGATCAGACAAAAGCAGAATTTGCAGATATATCCCACCGACCCTGCTAAAGTTGCTACCAGATTTGGGGTGCCAGGCAAAAATCTCACAGAACTGGCTGGGATTATCTCCTGAGAAAATCACCAGGCATTCTTGCTTTTCCTTTTTATCCCAGTCCATGCAATGAAGCCCAATACAATTCCCAGGGTATGCTGGACACTTAACAAATACCCTGCCATTGCAAGGATTTGTAAGACTTTACAAGAGCATGTAGCAAGAGGACAATGGGGAATATATTAAAACTGAAAAAGAGAGTAGGTTTAGATGTTAGGAGGAAGTTCTTTGCTGTGAGGGTGGTGAGGCATGGGAACAGGTTGCTCAGATTAACTGTGGATGCCCCATCCCTGGAAGTGTCCAAGGCCAGGTTGGATGAGGCTCTGAGCAGCCTGTTCCAGGGGAAGGTGTCCATGCCCCTGGCAGGGGGCTGGAACCAGATGTTCTTTATGGTCCCTTTCAACCCAAACCACTCTGTGGCTCTCTGAAGACTGAGCAAGCCTTGATGGCTTCTCTCCTCTCCTGCACCACTGCAGCTGTGGAGTTTGTTCAGAACCTCAGAGACTGGTTTGTGCTTTTGGAGGACAGGTCTAGCAGTCTGCTCTGACATGCACACACTGATGGTATCCCAGTCCTCATAAAGGACTACACCACCTAAGTGGTCTCTTCTATCATCTGTTCCTACATTTCCTTGATGGGGTCTAATAATACCCAGCAAGTTTGTCAAAGAGAATAGTTTGGTTTCAATCTGCACTCCCTAGGGGGAAAAAATCCACAAAAACCCACAAAGCAACCCCACACACATTTAATAGCTGTCTACGAGAAATGAGGTTTAAATTATTACCTCAACACCACAAAAGAAAGGTATAATCCAGGCCTACAAGGCACTGCATGACTTCTGTTGAGCACTTTTACAGTACTATAGGATGACACATTATTACACAAAAAAGCAATTTTATGCTCCTCCTGATGCCCCTTCCTCAGAAGTGCATGCTGTGTGGCAAAACAGCTTGGTAAAACAGTTTAACACAAATGAGAACAGCAAACCAAACCAATCAAACCCACCAAATTCGCCTAGGTCCCTAATCAGCCTTTCAGTCAGACTTGCTGGCCACACAGAGAAATGTCTTTGCTGATTTAAGGGGTGTGCTTTTCTCAGCACTGATGCCTGCACCAAGTCTGAACTGGAAGAAGAGCAGAACAGTTTGATGCTACATTTAACCTAATTTATTTATGCATTTTTCCCCGTGTGTCTTTTTTTTTTTTCTTTTTTTGCCCTGCAGCAACATAATTGCTGAATCCATCAACAAATGAAAACAACCCTGCCCTCCTAGGAGCCGTCTGCAGCACTGCAGGAGTGTGATGGGCAGCTTAATCACCAGGTAGGGAATCACAGAATGGTCTGGCTCAGAAGAGACCTTAAAGATTGTCCCGTTCTAATCTGCCAGGGCCAGATACACCTTCCACAAGACCAGGCTGCTCAAAGCCTCATCCAACCAGGCCTTGGACACTTCCAAGGATGGGGCATCCAGTTTCAAGTTCCACCCTCACAGTAAGGAATTTCTTCCTAATATCTAATCTAAACCTAACTCCTCTTAGTTTGAATCCATTCCCCCTTGTAACGATCACAGAATCATTAAGGCTGGAAAAGACATACAAGATAATCAAGTCCGAGCTTTGCCAGAACCCACCATACTCACTAAACCATACCACCGAGAGCCATGTCCACTTGCAAGAAGGGTGACTGCACCACTGCCCTGGGAAGTCGGTTCCAATGCCTAATCACTATTTCAGCGAACAGATTTTTTTTCTTCTGATGTCCAACCTAACCTGACCCTGCCCGGGTGCGATAGAGGCCATTTCCCCCTGCCTTAGGTAGAGGCACGGCCCAGCTTGCACAACCCGAGGGCGGGATCCTGCAAATACGTCTTCGCTACACAGCGGCCCCAGGGCGGCTCCCCTACTCCTTCTCCACAGGAGGGAGAAAGCAGGAAAACCCGCCGCGAGGCCCCGGCTCCCGCTGGACACCCACAGGCGGCTCTTCCGGCCCGCCGCACCCCTGTGCGACCGCCGCTCCTTCCCCTTCAGGGAGAACGGGGCACCATCACAAATTCACGGGCACCATCACAAATTCACCATTACAAATTCACGGGCACCATCACAAATTCACGCCCTCTCCGCCGCTGCAGAGGCCGGCACCGCTCCCCGGCCTCTCTCTCTGCGGGAGCCACGCCGAGCGCGGTTTTTCCTCGAGGAAAACCCATGGCCCTGCCGCCCCTTCCCCAGCAGCCCCTCTGGGTGCTCACCTGGTCAATGTAGTGGCGCACTCGCTTCCTGAGCCGCTCCAGGTTCATCCTCCCTCCTTCCCGGTCTCCCTCCCGCGCTGCCCTGGATGCCGGAGCCACCGAGGGACCGCGGGCCGCCCCCGGTGCAGCGCCCAAACCCGCCCCCCGCCTTCCCTCCCTCCCTCCCTCCCGGAAACAGCGCCCCGAGCGCGGCGTTCCGGGAGCGCTGAGGCCGCCCGGGACATCCCCCCCACTGCCTCCACACGCCCCTAAATAAACATGTGCTGGGACTTTTCTCTACAGTTCGTACTGTGGAGAGAGAGAAATTTGTGGTGAAGGGCTTCTTCACAGTCTCGAAGTGAAAGATTGTCCGTGGAATGTGGCCCGAGGGAATGGCCTGGAGCTGAGTCAGGGGAGGTTTAGGTTGGATATCAGGAGAAGCTTCTTCACCCAGAGTGTGGCTGGGCACTGGAACAGCTCCCCAGGGAAGTGGCCTCAGCACCAAGCCTGACAGAGTTCCAGAAGCTTTTGGACAGGGTGTGTCTCTTGGGGACGTGCAGGGCCGGGGGGTGGGTTCCATGATCCCTGTGGGTCCTGTCCAGCTCAGCACACTCTGTGGTTCCATGATGTCTCTGCCAGGGCTCCTTCAGGGATCTGCTACCCTGAGAGCCCATTCGGCTGCTGCAGCCTTGTGGTGAAAGTGCTCCCTCAAGACTTTGCAGGGATGGTGGATGCTGTGTCAGGAGGTTTTCTGTGAATCCTGGGTCTCCCAGGCAGTTTTGGTGTCACACATATTAGGGAATCATCCACTAGGACACTGCTGAAACATGTCAGCTTTCACTACTGAAACCCAAGTAATGTAAACCATTAAAATGCCTGATTTGAAATAATTTGGGTGTTGGCCAATACTTCTTGGAGTGGGTATGCATGGGACAGGAGGAAGAATCACCTGTGTTTGCTTCCATGGAGAAGGAAGACTTGTGTCAAGGTTACAGTGTAGAGAAGGCCACGAAGGTGGCAGCTGGTCACCAGCAGACAGTCTGAGGAAAATTGATCCATGCGTCCTCTCTTAAATTACTTGCAGTAGCTGCACTTTGATGTAAAACTGTTTGATTTTAGTGATTTCCTCCAGTTATTAATTACATCAGCTTTTCACCTCACACTGTGTCACCTTTGGGGAACCAATTCTTCTCTGGTGCCATTGAGTGTGTGTGCTGCAGAAGGCAGATATTTGTGCCTGCTGTAAAGCATAAATTTATTCTGGTCTTGTTTGTTTGTTTGTTTGGGGTTTTTGTTTGTTTGTGGGTTTTTTTTTTGGTTGGTTGGGTTTTTTAAAACTCAACTGCATTTGTAGGACTGCTACTTTTTCATATTTTGGTAACCAACATCTTGGGGAAAGCAAAATCCTTGTTAATTTTTCCATTAGATCACATAATGAAGAAACTAATCCATGTGAGAGTGGTTTCTTTGGATCCAACAGTCATATCTAGTGAGGGTTATTATCACATTCAACTTCCCTAAAGACAACTTCTGGGTGTGCAAATACCTTCCATGGCAGGATGCAATCAAGCTTTTGTACCTACAGTTCTCAGAAACTTGTGGCTTGTAATGAGTACTACCATTCCACTCATTGCATTTGTTGGTTTAAAATCCTCTTTGAAATCAGTATGGAAATGACAGTATATGTATTCATCAGCTTGTTGGTCTGTCTATGTACAACAAAAGATATTGAGTGAGATTTTGATAACATTTAGAAACTGCTGAGTGGTGGAGCCCATGAGTTTTCCTATGTGGCACATTTCCCTCTTTGACCAGGTGTAATAATAACTCACCAGAGATCAGTGGTTTCTATTCAGTGTGAGACATCAAGGTAGCAAACTGCAGTAATTCAGAGAGAACAAGATAAATTTAAAAATCATATAATCATACAATGGTTTGGGTTGGAAAGGACCTCCAAAGATCATCAAGTTCTAACCCCTCTGCCAAGGGCAGGGATACTTTCCACTAGACCAGGTTGCTCAAAGTCCCATCCAACCTGAGCTTGAACAATGTTTCCAGCAATGGAGCATCCACAACTTCTCTGGGCAACCTGTTCCCATGCCTCAACACCCTCAGCATAAAATGTTTCTTCCTTATATCTAGTCTGAATCTGCCCTCTTAGTTTAAATACCTCAGTAGAGAAGCTGAGTTTGAAAATTCATGAAATGCAGAACAAAAAAAAAAAGAAATAAAATATGAAAATTAGGAGTTGGTGCTAACCAGTAAGATAGAAATCTTGGCTGGGGAAGAAAAAAAAGATGCACAGGAAGTGTGGGGGTTAGAAGAGAAGTAAATGCTCTTGCTGGGGATGGGTGACAGTTAAGAACTGCCATGGTCACCAGGAGCTGCTCTGAAGCACAGAGAGGACCTGTCATCTGTAGGATCTTGGAGTGATCCAGGGAATGCTCTATGAACGTGAGGAAACAGGTACAGAAATGTACATAGTGTTATTTCTCCTTTAGCATCTGTCTTGTTCTTATATTGTCAAAGCAGAGTACATCATCTCATGCCACTCCCTAACATGTGTTATGTGCTGCTTTTTTATATTTCCCTGAAAATTTATCTCATCTGTGTGAGCTATTTCTGGGTCTGGAGCTCAGAGGAATAGTTGCTTAAGCTATGCTGGGGGGCTACAGCAATGTGGCCCTGGGGGCTCTGCTCAGGTGGGCTCCAGTCCTGTTTCTTCAACAGGAAGCTGCTCTGGCATCAGCTCTCATTGAGTAGCTGGTCACTCAAAGACAGCACCCTTATGGACACACTCCATCATTTTGTTCCTTCCCTGGGAGTTATGTAGGTGTGTGAGCAAATAGATGGGGCTGACACATCATGTTGTCAACAGCAAGATCTTTGTGAAGTGGTGGTTGAGACTTAAAAATTACTTTAGAAGTGAAAAAAGGAAATTTTGAATCTTATGTAGTTTCAAATAATACGTAAGTTTCTCTTTCAATTTCAAAACCAGTAGAGAGCAAAACTACTGTAATGGTTAAGTGGTGTTGACATACCTACTGCTTTGCTTAATAATACTTTTAACAGTGGTGAGGGTATGGAGAGTCAGTTAAAACAAACTGATTTAAAAATTTGCATTCAGGTATCTTAAATCTTGACAGGAAGTGGAAGGCTCCACAGTCATAGTAAGACTTTCTTACTTTGTGGAAGTTCCTATATTTTTATCTACTTTTAGCTATCTTCTTTCTTCTGTTTTAAAAATACCTGTAGACATGATATGTGCTGATGCTATCACATAGCTTCTTCCTGCTGCTTTTAAATTACTGTTTCCAAGTCAGTTTGGTGCTTGCGTGTTTCACAAAATCACAGAACAATTCAGGTCGGAGAGGACTTTTAAGATCATCTATTTGTAATCTCCCTGCCATATGCAGGGAGATTTACACCAGACCAGGTAAACTTGATTTACACCAGACCAGGTAAACTTGATCAAGTAAAAGTGTGTGTTTGCTTTCAGTTTGTACATGAAAAAATGTCTTCTTTGATTTGGAAAGTGTCCTTGCTTCTGGCTTGAGTACTGTAACTGAAGTGAGGCCTCTGAAATGGAGGTGTGTATTGAGCTGGGAGAAGTTCTCTCTGAAATAGCCCAGGAGCAGGTGTCAATCTTTCTGGAAGGTTTCAGAGGCAGCCCCTAACTCAACTATTTTGTTCAGGTAAGTGGAAAAAGTGAGTGACCATCTGCTGCCCTCATTCTGAAGTTTTTCTTCATCCCTGCAACCCCAAACCCATGTCTGCTCCTGTTTCCAGTGTTGTGTATAAAACTGCAGATGTGCCAAGGGGGCAGCCCTTGGCAATCCCCACTTTACAGAGGCAGAATATCTGAATTCCTCCCATGGGGTGTGACTCTCCCTCAGCTGCCTGCAGCATGGCTAAACTTGGAAAAAAGTTATTATTTTGATTTTCAGTGGGTCTAAAAAAAGTGATTTGGGAAATGGACTGAACTTGATCCACTGAGGACACCTGTGGCATGCATGGAAGGGGAGGAGGATGGAAAGGAAAGCAGTTGTCTTTATCTTGTCTCCTACCAGCATTCTTTAATTATCTTACAGAATTCTTGCCTTTTCATACAGAAATTGTGTCATTTCTTCTAAACTTATTAGCATGATATTTCTGTACCTGAACTTCTATTATTTGATTGCTCACGATGAACTGCATGAGCTGTCAAAAACACAATCTGCAATTAAAGTGAGGCCTTTATTTAAATTTCCACTTTCTTATTTTATCTTGGCTTACATAGCTGCTGTAAAACAGGCCTGCCTCTTTCAAACATCTTTCATCCCACTAGTCACTATCAAGCAAGTCTGACAGGTCTCCAAAAGCAGAGTCAGTTTCTGCAATTTTGTGGAAGTCAATGTCAAGATTAGAGAGACATGGACAGACTAGTGCCCCCTTTCCTTCAAGGAAGGCTACAGCTCCAGCTAAGGAGTTACCTGCTCCATTTAGCCTGCCAGGAGCCCAGTGAGGATGTGCATGGCTCAGGATCACAACTGGAGATTGTGTCAGAAGGCTTCAAGGACATGGGAGGACAGGGACTAAAGTTACTATGGAGAAAGAGAAGCTGGGGTTTGGCAAAAAAATTTGGGGGCCGTGTGATTTGGTCAATAAAAAACCTTTGTGGGTTTGCTGCTCATAGAACATTGTTTGTCCTGCAGTTATTTAGGTGATACAAACCTGTGGCAGTGTTCACAGGGGTCCAGGATGAGGGAAGAGATGAGAATCTTGACTCCATGTTTCAGAAGGCTGATTTATTATTTTATGATATATATTATATTAAAAGAAAATGATATATTAAAACTATACTAAAAGAATAGAAGAAAGGATTTCATCAGAAGGCTAGCAAGGAAAGGAAAGGAATGATAATAAAATCCTGTGACTGACCAGAGAGTCTGAGACAGCTGGACTGTGATTGGCCATCAATTAGAAACAACTACATGAGACCAATCAAAGATGCAAGTGTTGCATTCCACAGCAGCAGATGATCATTGCTTACATTTCATTTCTGAGGCCTCTCAGCTTCTCAGGAGAAAAGATCCTAACAAAAGGATTTTTCATAA